TGACTTTTATTAATAAAATAGATTAAATAGCCTACTGGAGAGACGCACAGACGCAGGTAGGCTAATTCACACAGGCAACTGTCACCTCTCTCTTTCTCGAAAAATTAATTCAAGTAGCTAAATGTTATAATTCATTAATTCAAATAAATGTGATCTTACAGCACTATTTCATCTCTTTCTGATCTGAAGCGGGCAGAATGAGGAGCTAACGAGCTGTAGCTTCACGTCAGGTGGTTCTTGTCTTCATGTCGTGCATTGAAATCATTCAATGTACAGCAAGCCGTGCATTATCCCTTATGTAGGCGATCTTTAGCAGCAGTTTTTTACAGCAATATTTAAATGACACCCTGGTCATTCTTGGTGTACTCAAAATGGTCCCACGCTATCGACAGGCATTTCTCTGGTGGAAATAAAGCTTCACTGTTTGGTTCCACTGTCATAGTTCATCTAATGCATGTAGTAGCCTCCGTGCTTCTGATAAGCACGTCATTTTAAGCTGGTGCACCGCTAGTGTAACTTTTTTCGTTTTGCGCAAGCTGCAACAGCTCTGTTCCGTGTAACAGAAACACTCGGTTTAGCGGAACCTTTACGATTAATTAACCGTGATGTTTTAAAGCGCGGTTAATCGCGAAACCGGTTAATCGCTGCATCCATAAATGGAACCATATCAGTGACAGATCTGGAGCAATTCCATGAAGCATAATTAAAAATGATGATGAAATACAAAACTACTGATTTATTAAAACTACTGATACTAAACTACTGAGAGCCAAAAATGCTAGATATATTGCAAAGTCTGATATGATTGGTGGAAACATTTTTTTAAGAATAATGGGTAACAGTTTTTTACTTATAATTCCACTAAACATGATAATTTAATATGTTTAAATAATGTGGGCTGATGGCTTCAAAAAAAAGCATAAACCACCAAATAACTTCAGAGCTCACAGTAGGTCTGTTTTTAAAAGGTGATAAATTATTGTTAAAAATCAATACCCCTACGGAGAAAATGAATATGACTGTCTGTGTGATCTCATAGCAATGTATCCTTGGATCGCCTCCTCCAGAATGAATACATGCAGTGCTGCTGCTAATGTTGCTGCCAGCTACTGTATTTGGAACAGCCTTCGTGATGAGCGCATGCCTATGTTGCCTCAAAATTCTATTGAGCTTGCTATGTTTTGGAACAGAGCTATTGTTTATTGTAAAAGGATAGTTCTGAGTCCTTCGTGCTTTCAGTCTCACCGTGACAGCGTGGGCTCAGTAAGGGATCCGGCCCTCAATCGGTACTGATCCAGTTCAGATCTCAGTTTCTCGATCTCCTCCGAGAGATGAGACTACAACCGCAAAGCACATTAAAGTTTCATTTTACTCAGAATGGATAGCAAAGCATTGCATCAAAATTTGTTCCACCCAGCTAGTTTTCAGAAAATAAAAACTAATAACCTTTTCCTGTATGGAGTCTTCTAACTGCTTCCTGTAGTTATCAGAGTCTTGTATTAACACATTCTGAAAGATAAGCAAAGGAAACAGTGTGAGTGATCAACATTATTGGAAGACATCTGTCACGATGGTTGGATCTTCTCTCACTTTATCCTCAAGAGCGGCCATTCTCTCTTTCAGGTGAAGCTGTAAACGTTCATTCGACTCGGTCAAGAGTCTGTCCACAGTGTCCGACAGACGCTTGTTGTGTTCCTCATTCATCTTCTCTCTCTGTCGAGCCTGAGGAAACAAAGTACAAATTAAAATTAAAGTACAAATTCACTCAAATTAAATGTTTTATAAAATACTAGCATACTAAATACAGCACACTAAAATATGACCTCACTGTACTGAATGTTTAACCCACAGAGACCCAAATATTGATACTCATGCCATATTTATTTTTTTTCACCCTTAAACATGTCTCTAGAAAGCCTTTAAATACAGGCAATATTTGCATTGGGGTATAATTTGGAGAAACATAAAAAATTGCAATGCTGGGCATTACGGGAAACATTTAAGCACTATTTACTGATACAGAAAGGATATAGTCATGAAACGTTATGAAATTTCACTTTTTGATGATTTTAAATACGGTAATAAATATTCATATTAATGCATATTTTAAATATAATTTAGTCATTTTTAATATTACTTATATATAGTGCTATAACACACATACGTGTGTGTGTGTGTGTGTGTGTAAATATATATTTGCTAAATCAATGAGATAATAGTGATACAATCTTTGCACCATTGGATAGGCTCAGACTATGTTGTGTGAGAAACATTATCTCGAATTTATGTACATTTAAAATTTCATACCATGTAAGCCTTTTCCCATTACCAGACTCATAGAAATCAAATAAAATAAATATAAAATGTCAAATATGATAAATGTGATAAATTTCAGAGTAAGCTACTGTTATGTGTAGTTTTGACCCATATTTAGTTACTGTTAGGTATTATTTAATTGCTTTATACAAACGTTGCAATTGACCCTTTGCAAAGAGCTTGATTGACAGGCGATCTGACCAATCATAACACCGCATCCGCCATTTTGTCCGACAAACAAATTAGACAGGAGAATAGATTAACTTCAGTGGACTTAAACTTGAAAAATTGTGTGTACTGATGTTCCACAGTTGAAACAAAACACGTTCTGATATTCATTCATGTTTATTTCATGCTTTAAATAAATATGAAAAGATGATCGGTTCACGTGCCAAATGAACTGAGGTGCTACAGTGATCCGTCACGACACATTAAAGAGCCACAAAATGCTATTTATTGTTTGAATTTCTTTACCAAATTTGAAAGCTGAGACCTTGTTTCATACCAGAAGTAACCTGCTCTGTCTTGTCTGTCAGCATGTTGTCAGTTTCCTCTTTGCTCTGCAATGTATTTTTCACGGCGCAAATGTGTAATGTGAGAGCAGCATGGCTTGTCGGACATAGCAACAGTAACTAAGTAGGGCGGGTTTTTGAGAAGGGTCAATTCTGCTATACTGGGTCTCTGAGGGTTTTAAATTTGTGAGAGTTGATCAGTTATCATCTCAGAAGTAAAAACTTATATCTTGTGTTTTTGAAAGTCCAATAAAATAATCCGTTAGGAGGAGATAATCATAGTTGACTTGGCTTTCAGTTTATTCATCATACTGGAAATGGAAGGTAAAGTTATCCAGGTTTCCACACAGCGTGCTGTTTTATACTATACTGTTTGGTAAATGTAGTTGCTAATTTGTATATTCCACAATCTGATAATTTACATTCTGCATAAAATAAACACGCTGTGAAAATAGTATGGAAGTATGGATTCTTATATAAAGAGATGTTGACCCTGAGCAGTTCCTGGTTCTTCTCCTCCAGCTGTCCCTCTAAATGTCTCATACGCTCCTCGATACTGCCGTGTCTCTCCTCCGCCTGAACAACAAACACATATTGTATTTTGTCAGACAAGAAAATGTAAAGCCACAAATTAGCTCAAACCAGCAGAGAAAAGACCCCTGAACCATGACTATGTTGGCTGGAAAATAATCTAGATTTATGAGATTTTGAGTTTGGTTTATAAAGTGCCATCACACCAAACACCACAGACATGGTTGAGCAGACAGGTAAAGAGAAGGAGCATGTATTTCCTTAAGCTTCTGTTCTCTCCTGTGTGAACAGAAAGAACCAAGTACGTCAGCAACTCATTAAAGCGAAGAAAATCCCAGCTGAGCATCACATGCAGCTGAAATACACCAGCAGTGAACAGACCCACAGCCAGACAGAGTGAAGTGAATGAGAGCGAGAGAGAGAGAGCAGCTTTCAGCCCCACCTTCCTCACACTGCAGTTCACGTCCTGGAGTTTAGCTTCCATATCAGACTACCAAACCACACAATACAGAGAAATATCACACAACGTTAATAATGAATGGCGTATCTGTCCATGTTTCCACAGTAGAGTTTGTTAACAGCTCATTTTAAAGAATGAACGAGAGCAATTTCTGTCTTTTACTTTTTCTTAAACCCTTTCAGGGGCAGAGGTCACTGTGAGAAATCACCTGCCAACTAACTTCTCACTACTCATTTGGGCTTAAAGTAGAAATTGTTCCATTTTATGAACATTTTGGGTGTTTTTTTTAAGCAAGGGGAAATATAGCACTCAGGAATTATAATTCTATAAATTATACTATATTAAATATATTAATTATATAACCAATAATTTTTATAAAGTTTATTATAACAAATAACCATTTATAAATGTTTTTTTCAACAAGAAAATTATATAACAAATATAACATTTTTAAATAAAGAATTAAATATAATAATATTTTTTTAATAAAGATAATTATAACAAACAATTTTATAAAGAAATAATTTTTTTTAAATTTTCTGCCAAGATAGTTAGGATTTTAAAAAATAATGCTATTTTAACAGTCTTTTTGTTTTTATATATCTAATATTATAATTTTATAATGGAAGAAAAATAAAAAATGTAATGCAAATTCTTTTCAAGTTAATTAAATTACTAATATAATAAATTTATAATGAAAGATATATTATTATTTTTTATATCAAGGTTACATACAGTAAATACTATGGGAAGGAATCACAGGAAATAATAATTTTCACAAAATAATGTAATTATTCTGTGCTTGGTGAAAATTTGTCATGTACAATTTGTTAACACATACCAGACAAAAAATACAGTATACTGATGTATTTGACCATATGACCTTTCAAATCATTCTGATCAGTACACTACATAAGTTTGAAAGAGATTGCAATCTACTACGACTAAAGATTTTGAAGTTTTTATGCTGATCAATGCACATAAAAATGTACACTAAGTGCAATGTAATGCTTTGCCCCAACTAAACCAAGAATGCTTAGAGCACCTTAATGTGCAGTGGTCAATAGGAGAAACCACCTCAAAAATGGCCCTTGACCCCTAGCCTGAATAGTTGAGCCCAACATGGATTGCAGTTTGATGTCTCTCTCTCTGAAGTACTACAGTTTGGATGATTAATTTGTGTGAATCGTTTGTTCTGATGGTTCACTTCAGTAAATCAGTTAATTTGAGTTATCACTCATGTGTTCCCAGATATTCCTTCACTTTACTTCTTGTTAATGTCAAAGGAAATGAACATTTAGTTAAGGATTTCAACAACACTGGTTTGCATTAAACACAGCTAATGTATGCGTGTGTGTGGCATCCAGTACAGTACCTTAGTGAGAGCTGCTATCCTCTGTGCTAGCTCAGCCTCGACTTCAGGCAGAGTCTCAGCTTTCCTCATGGTCTGCTGGAGCTTCTGTTCCGCCAACTCCAGCCGCTCCTGTAACTGCCTGTTCTTCTCCTCCATCTGTGGGAGGAAAAACACACACACACACACACACACACACAGTGTCTGATCAGAGAGTTTATCCTCATATGGCAGACACCATAGGACAGTCCAGCTTCCACGGCAACAAGTAGATCATCATGGCTGTTTTCAGTGTGCCCAAACAAACAAAATTACATAACTGCCTATTTTTGCCTGTTCTTGGAACAATTAAACTCTCATTAGAGGGTGATAAATGCACGCTGAAGCTTGGCAGTACCTGTGTCAATTCATTTACTTTATACAATTTCTACAAATATGTTTCTTTAACTGAAAAGCAAAAATAAAATCTACATATTATTAATTTATTACTAAATAAGTACAAAAATAATTAAAACGGGAAAATAAATAGATAAATAAATAATTATTTCATAGAATATTCTCGCTGCTCTTTTACATATCAGTGTTGTTTTGGTACTGTTTATATAAAAAGTGAAACTTTGGAAAATGAATATTTATTGCACTCAGACAGGTATGTTCTATACAGTTGTTTTGATAGAGGGAAACAATGCATTTCTAGTTTCATAATATTTGTTCCTCAGCTTTTACTCTCAGAAAAGTAAAGGAAAAAAAAGTATCAGCTAAGTATTCCTCATTTGTAAGTCACTTTTGATAAAGCATCTGCTAAATGAATAAATGTCAATGTAAATGTAGTTTACAGCCATGCAAACTTCAGGAAAATGTTTTCCCATTTTTGAGCTGTCACTATTGGCATATAATGCAAGAAAGATCACTAACATCAACATATTTTACTAATAGACTAATTTACTAATCTCTGTCTAAAAATAAAATAATGTTGCTGGTACTTTTCCAAAGTAATTTTTACCCCGCTGTAATTTGGCTCCAAATCTCAGGTGAAAATTGTCATTTTAACCCCTCTCTACAAAACATTGGATTACTCGGTATATATTCATCCATAACATTTGATAAAGAAAATGAATAAATACTGACATTTAATTTTCCAGATGAAGTATTAATTAAAATGGTTAACCGATGGTTGACAAAAATGTCTTAATTTTGTCATGCACTTTTATTATGTCTCTGTAATAACTAATTTACTAATCTCTGTCTAAAAATAAAATAATGTTGCTGGTACTTTTCCAAAGTAATTTTTACCCCGCTGTAATTTGGCTCCAAATCTCAGGTGAAAATTGTCATTTTAACCCCTCTCTACAAAACATTGGATTACTCGGTATATATTCATCCATAAAATTTGATAAAGAAAATTAATAAATACTGACATTTAATTTTCCAGATGAAGTATTAATTAAAATGGTTAACCGATGGTTGACAAAAATGTCTTAATTTTGCCATGCACTTTTATTATGTCTCTGTAATGTGTTTAGAACATGTTTTTTCCCCCCAAATCTCTAAGCACTTTCTCAGAAATCCTGGTGGATCATTTGGCAGGATATGAAATGGTGTCATGCTGACTGTGATATCAGCAGAAAAGAATCTTCAATTACGAACGGAATGACTGTTGTCAGTTGTCATGTTCAAAACATCTGTGCACAACGCAGTCACATAATTGCAGTACATCAAAGTAATTTGAAATAATGCTAAACAGAAAATAAAATTGGAAGACAAGTAGTCAGAACCTGACCTGTCTGAGGAAAGCCTCCTTATTGGCCAGTTCGTTTTCCAGCTTGTCTGTGATGTCATGTAGTGATGTGGACTCTCTCTGGGCACTGAGATAGCGCTTCTCAAGAGTCACTATCCGTTCCTCCATGTCTTCTTTCTGACACATAGCCTGAACACACACACACAAACTGTTGGTTAGTGGCTCTCAGACACACACCTAAGATAGAACCCGCAGGTGTAATAGTCAACTGTCAATCAAAAATCCTGCCCTATAATTACACACAGGCTTGAGGACAAATATGAACACAAGCAAACACACATTCGGACACAGAGGCACACACACACACACACACTCACTGCTCCGGGCTGCCACAACCTCTCTCCATCAATAGCTGTATCTCAAATCCAACAGACATTTCCCAGAATCTGTCCAGCTGTCGCTAATTATCAATGTGACAAGGCTATGTCCGAAACCGAAGGCAGCTGTTTCGCTACCTGGTCAGTCAGTGTTGCAACAGACCGAATTTTGTAAGAAGGCACCTTTTAATAAAACTGCATTTGACATGAAAGGATGTTAACCATTGTCTGATGAGGTTTTAGACACAGCCTACTTTACAGTATGTGTGTTTCGAGACAGAGGCTTGACATACACCCATACTGCACCTCTTTAATATCTCTCTGGTACTTGTTGTTCATATCTTCGCTCTTGATGAGGTCTTTTCTAGCCGTCTCCAGCTCCTGCTCCACCTCGGACACACGGGAGGACAGCGAGGACATGCGCTCCTTCATCTGCGCCAGCTCATAGTTCTGCTTCTCCAGCAGCTCCTGCAGCTCCACCACCTGACTGGCCTCGTCCCCCGACTCCATCGACCCGTTAGACAACCGCTGCAGCCCAAACACATGTAATACACTTCCTTTTAGAGTGAAAAAATGCTGCGAGATGGATTAAACAGATTAAATAAGGACGTTTAAACAGAATCTACTGCTCATTAATTCAGTAAAACTGCATATTATTATAAGGGTTATTATTGTTAAATAAAACTAAGCCCATAAAATTATTTTGAATTACATTAAATAAACATTAAAAGTGATGTATCATGAAAATCTGACTTTTTCCATGTTTAAGTGTTATAACAAGGGTTATTATTGTTAAATAAAACTAAGCCCATAAAATTATTTTGAATTACATTAAATAAACATTAAAAGTGATGCATCATGAAAATCTGACTTTTTCCATGTTTAAGTGTTATAATCGGGTCCCCGGTGCATCTACCAACCCAGAAAACATGAAAAAGAACAAAACAGTAAATTTTTTGCTAAGCCTTTCTCTGCAAGCTTGTTAAAAATGAGCTGCTCAGAAAGGGGATCTTATTATAATATTACCGCCCCTTAATCTGCAAGTTTCCACCCACGGCACCCCCATTGTGTGTTCGCAAGCGACAACCACGTACCAGTTCTAAAGTTCAAGCAAAGCATGCTAACTGTTCTGCACTGCTGAGCACAGAACACAGAAATAACCAACTGTTTTGGCAACTCGTGTGTGTTTTTAACATAAACTTGTGTGTATTTGACAGTTTAAGCGCAATATTACACACACACACACACTTATTGTTCATTTAATTTCAGAACACATGGATTCATCCACTGGTGTCGTATCAGCACGATCTCATTAGAAAACATAACGGTTTTACCAGGTGTTAATTTTGTATGAATTTAAACAATCCAATTCATGTGGAAATATACGATTTTTAGAACAGTAAGTACGAAGTTCCACCCTTAACCCCACAACTAAACCTAACCATCAGTGGGCCATGAACAGATGAAATAATAATAATAATTCATTTGTGTTCATGTGAAGAAAGGCCCAACACTGTAAAAAATTACTCTTAAAAAGGTTGGGATTTTACAAGAAAATACTTTTTCAGCATTTCTACTGCACATTTTTGTTTAATTCAATATGTTTGAATTGCAATTTCTTTGTAATTGTTTGCAAAATTTACTAGCAATTTCTGAATGAAAATAGTTTGAAAGTAAATTCTATGCCACATTTTTTGCAGTGTATACATCTGGGATGACATGAGAGAGTAAATGACGAGAGAATTTTCATTTTTGGGTGAAATATCCCTAACAGCATTAAAAAAAAAACTTACATTTTGACATGTTAACATCAACAGCCCAAGTTTGTACATAATCAAAATTTTAAGAAATAATAATAATAATTTAAAAGAACATACTTTCTTGCATTCAATTCCAAAATAATATCTCATTCAAAGAAGTATTTGATGCCACTACAATATACTGTTGATGTTCATGGTTATGCCATGGTAGTTTTATAAATACCACAGTACTCAAATGATTACCAATGGTTCAAATAAAAGCACTGAACTTTTTATACTTTTTTACTACACTAAGCACTACTATATCTTACACTATAATGTAATTTATGAAATGCTGTATATCTGGACCACCACAAACCTGCCACAGCCCAATAAATGTAAAACTGCTGCGCATACAAATATAGCAGCAGAAGTTGCTGACCATGGCCACTGGCATATGCTCCCTAATAAAATAAAATAGTGTTCTTCAAGGATAACATAAACTTGTGTGTATTTGACAGTTTAAGCGCAATAAGACAGGAAGGAGAATTTAGTTTAGTACTCATGCCGTGTGACAGCTGCTTTCTGTGTGTGTGCTTTGGATGTGTGCGCTCAGAAAACCGTATATCAGTTTAAACTAATATGGTTTAAAGCGCATGATTTCAGCACAATAGACATCGTAATCAAAACCAAACAGATGTTTTTATTTTAGCAGAGTATCTGAGGAACCAGCTGTAAAGGCACAGCCCTATTCTGGAAAAGGGGGGAGGGGAGCAGCAGCTCATTTGCATTTAAAGAGGCATGCATGAAAACAGCGTGTTTCTGCTTCCACTCAAAACGGAAGTTCAAAATGCTATAATAAATTATCTGTTGGCTATTTTGAGCTGAAACGTCACAGACACATTCTTGGGACACTTATATTACATATTATAAATGGGGCATAATAGGTCTCCTTTAACTGAAATAAAAAACTCAAAACTCATTTTATTTTAGCTAGTTTCCAAGGCTCTACTTCTCATTTTTGTTTAGTTTAAGATGAAGCACTAAAATAAAGTACACACTAAAAAAGTACTATTTGTACTGTACAAGTATAAAACCAAGTGAATATGTCCAGTAATCATATAATTAATTGCCAATTAAATGGAAAAAACATTAATTGATACAATAATTTATACTAAACAAATGTAAATATGGCACAAATACCTATAGTTTGTATATTATGCAAGTTGCAGGGTTGAAAGGGTTAGTTCACCCAAAAATGAAAATTCTGTCATTAATTACTCACCCTCGTGTTGTTCCAAACCCGTTTGGAACCAAGGCTCCAAACGGTGAGTAAGGTGAGGGTGAGTAATTAATGACAGCATTTTCATTTTTGGGTGAACTAACCCTTTAATGTTTTCAGCTACTTCATCGATTCATTCACTGAAACGGTCATCTAGCACAGTGCTCTTTATTTGGACTGTTGAATTCCCAGCATGCACATTTGTGTCTGTTCAGTCTAACTGCTTTCTCAGTGTGAAACAGAGGCTCAGCAGATCTTTCCTCTGCCATGCCTAAAATAAAGATTTTTCTCACATGTTCACACTAAATCTTGACACATCTTATGCTGCACTAAAATTAGACTTTACATCCTGTTTAATTTATGGTGCAGACACCCAGACAGAAGGGTGATAAAATAATTTGCAGAGCACACAGAATTTACTCCGTCAAAGCTGTGAAGCCACGGGAGATCGACACGACTTCACCAGAAGAGGATTCTGTGATCGTAAAACAAACGAGAAAGACAAGACAAAGAATAGCCACGATTTATTCTGGAGCAGCTGTAGGGTCTGATAATGACTCACTCTCACTTTTTTCACTCCCTCTCACTGTCTCTCTCTTTCTTTTTCTGTCTTTTTTGTCTATTTGACAGGGTCAGATATGTTTGTTACGTACAGGCAAAGCCAGTGACCTCTGGTTGGTCGGTTGGACCCATGCATCAGTGCCAGAGGCCCTGGATATCATCAGTACTGCTACTGAATCTATCGAGCATCATGGGAGATTAATTTGGCCAATTGAGATATACTGTCAAAGTGCCAACTTTAATCTTTTACAAGGCCACATGTTCCTGCCATCACTGTCACCATTCCAGCACAATCTAATGCCGCACACAGCACCCACCGGTGACAGCGAGAGGAGGATGACTCTCTTCTCATCCTGTTATCTTTTCATCAGGAGTGTGAGGCAAGATTCTGCTGCGACTGGTTTAATGGCACATTAAATGTGATTTAGAATCACAGTCTGACAGGATGAGACATGTGTGTAGACTGTATAGAGGTTTACTGATTTTATTTTACACATCTGTGTTCAAAAACTATTTTCAGTAGTTTCTTTCTTTCCCTGTTAGACTAAAAGCTGATTGTGCATCAAAATAAATAACTTCTAGTCACCAGTTCTGTACAGTGCCATTTATAAGTTTAGGGTTGTCAAGATTTTGTTTTCTAAGAAATGATTAAGTTTATTCAACAAGCAAGCATTGACCAAAATTTAATAAATTACATTTTTAAATATATTAAAATACAGCTACTTTAAATTGTATTGTAACAAAAATCTCACCGACCCAAACTTCTGAATGTTAGCGTACTTTTAGCATTCATAAAACAAAATCTGACTGTTGAGAGATCATTAACAACTCTGAGGCAGTTTAGAGCCTGGTTCCCTCACCTTGCCATGAACTTTCTGAGCATCGGTTCCCTCCAACAAGTCCTCGGCCCCTTCTCCTGACGCCACCTTCCTCTGAATGTGTGCATTCTGCTCTCTTAAGGCCACAATCTGCAAAAGCGCAATATAGAGAGATTTAATGTCAAATAAAACCCAGCAATACTGAAATCAGTTGTTGTTTGATAGGACACTTTATGCCAAATAATATACCAAACAGTAAAGACATAATAGAAACATATATCATCCTGACTTACATGTTACTGGTCCAATAAAACCTAAAAAAAGTGATATTCATAAGCAACATCAAATATTACTGGTACTACTTTATTGCCTTGTGCAAATAAAGACTAAGCAGGTCTTATACTTTATTTGTATCACCTGGAAGCAACGAACGTTTCCAATGTCATCCAAACTTTTTTTTATATATATTCAAATTGGATATCCATACTGTTTTGATGGGCAGACCAAATCATATTTTTCCTAGACTCTGTGTGTATTATCTTCTAGAGTCATTTTTGTATGATGTTCATACATAATTCTCTTGAAACTGCAAGCATACAGAAAAACGGCATCATAAATCAAATTTAGACAGCTTAGAAGGGTTTGCTTCATACATGTAGCACATCAGCAGCAAGCACGGTCACTTTTCCATCAGTTTTTAATTGCAAATGTACAGTATCAAGGGCACGCTGTACTGTAGCTCTCGTTCTGACAGGAATTATTGAGGAGCAGCAGGAATGTTGGAAACAGCGGCTCTAACTGATCATTTAACAACCGACCTCAACAATTTGTTACAGCTGCCAGCACCAACTATACTGGATTTTCACAAAGAAGTCTTAAAGGCACAGCAGCAGCATAAAACAGCCTGTTTGATTATTAGAGAGAGAGAAGGTGTACAATGATAATGACATACTAAATTATGCCTTTTTTGAACAAATTACATTTTATTATGGGTATAACGCATTTAAGGGCATGACATCAAGTGTCTATAGGGATTTCACATGACACTTCACATTGCTGTCACAAGACAAGTATTAAATGTCAGAGACAGAGTTAACATTCTGAAGTGATCTCACAGGATTTCATAAGTCAATTATAGGCAAGTTGTGGTAAATGTATGCACTTTTAACATTTTGCAAAGCACAACTTAATCGCACTGTGAAGATCACATGAAAAGTGACAAGCGACAGCTTCACAATGTGTCAATTACATCAAGTGTAAATTTGATCCATCCATGAGTCTGTAGGACAATTGGCCAGAGTCAATAGTTAAAAAGAGGGTAACACTTTAGTGTAGGGAGCAATTCTCACTATTAACTAGTTGCTTATTAGCATGCCTATTAATAACATATTGGCTGTTACTGGCTGCTACTAGTGCTTATAAAGCACATATTCTGTATGACCATATTCTACATCCCTAATCCTACCCAATACCTAAACTTAACAAATATCTCACTGACTGTTAATAAGCAGCAAATGAGGAGTTTATTGAGGCAGAAGCTGTAGTTAATGGTCTGTTAATAGTGAGAATTGGACCTTAAAATAAAGCGTGACCAACAAAAGTTTAAAATATACATATTTTTCTTACACACACACACACACACACACACACACTTATTGTTCATTTAATTTCAGAACACATGGATTCATCCACTGGTGTCGTATCAGCACGATCTCATTAGAAAACATAACGGTTTTACCAGGTGTTAATTTTGTATGAATTTAAACAATCCAATTCATGTGGAAATATACGATTTTTAGAACAGTAAGTACGAAGTTCCACCCTTAACCCCACAACTAAACCTAACCATCAGTGGGCCATGAACAGATGAAATAATAATAATAATTCATTTGTGTTCATGTGAAGAAAGGCCCAACACTGTAAAAAATTACTCTTAAAAAGGTTGGGATTTTACAAGAAAATACTTTTTCAGCATTTCTACTGCACATTTTTGTTTAATTCAATATGTTTGAATTGCAATTTCTTTGTAATTGTTTGCAAAATTTACTAGCAATTTCTGAATGAAAATAGTTTGAAAGTAAATTCTATGCCACATTTTTTGCAGTGTATACATCTGGGATGACATGAGAGAGTAAATGACGAGAGAATTTTCATTTTTGGGTGAAATATCCCTAACAGCATTAAAAAAAAAACTTACATTTTGACATGTTAACATCAACAGCCCAAGTTTGTACATAATCAAAATTTTAAGAAATAATAATAATAATTTAAAAGAACATACTTTCTTGCATTCAATTCCAAAATAATATCTCATTCAAAGAAGTATTTGATGCCACTACAATATACTGTTGATGTTCATGGTTATGCCATGGTAGTTTTATAAATACCACAGTACTCAAATGATTACCAATGGTTCAAATAAAAGCACTGAACTTTTTATACTTTTTTACTACACTAAGCACTACTATATCTTACACTATAATGTAATTTATGAAATGCTGTATATCTGGACCACCACAAACCTGCCACAGCCCAATAAATGTAAAACTGCTGCGCATACAAATATAGCAGCAGAAGTTGCTGACCATGGCCACTGGCATATGCTCCCTAATAAAATAAAATAGTGTTCTTCAAGGAGCATCTCTACAGCAGGTTATCTGACTGATGAGCCCTGTCACACACACATACACACACGCACACACACATAAACGTTGTGTTCTCTCTAGGCTAAAGGTCATTGGGAGATTATTCCACACCCATGTCGAGACGCTCTGTCCACTGTGAGCTCAGAGGAAGCAGGATAGATGGATGGATATAAGGAAGACATCCGCTTCCCTTTGTTTGGTTTATCGCCGCTCGCCACGCATTCCTTTAATGAGGTGGCAATTAAGGGGCTTCGCGCTTTTGAAGGCTCAGAAAGGGAATCGTCTGCCATTTTTCGAGTCCTGGAGATCAAACAATATCGCACCTTCTGACTCCACAAAGAACCGGAATATTGAGTCAACTTGCAAATGAAGGTAAATGAGAAGTGGAGGCCCAATGAAAGTGAGCATGTCTGCTTTGATGTCGTTCATTTGGCCTCATCAAAGCCAAGTGCGTACGAGCCCGGCTGTGCCTGAAACGCTGGTTTGTTTCAAACAGGAGACAACTACTTCACAGAAACCTGATTCATCTTTGCTACTCACCTGAATGAGTCGTGTAAAACAACATTTTGCTCCCTCTAACTGAGATATTAACGTACACTTGAAATAGAAATGGTTCAGGATGTCCTTACTACCTTTCTGGGCCTTGAACGTGTCAGTTGCATTGCTGTCTATGCAGGGTCAGAGAGCTGTCAGATTTCATCAAAAATATCTTAATTTGTGTTTCGAAGATGAACGAAGGTCTTACGGGTTTGAAACGACAGAATTTTCATTTTTGGGTGAACTATCCCTTTAATGGATTGCCTGTTTCTTTTCACTGTTTAGAGGTAGTTTCAGATGTGCAGCCTTTCATTTCTACATTTCAGACCCCGCTTACACAGACAGAACAGAAACCTTAAGCACGCGCTTAGATTTAATAATCAATATGTTTTCTGTTGGTTTTGCATCTTTTACTGTTTATATACAGTATGACTTATTTAAGATGTTATTTCAGATATACCCCACCCACCTCTCTATTTATCTATCTTAGGACTGAGTCAAGTCTTGTTTTAAACAACTGCTTTAACTTCTTCTCACCTCTCCATCTGTCTGGCTCTTTGATCTGAGGCAAACCTCTCTCTTGACCCGAAAAGTTCAGATGAGTGTTCATTCAGAAACAGAGACATTACTCACAGTGCAGTCAAAAATAGTACACACAATCTCAAAATTACATATCTCTTAAAGGAAAAAAAAAAGAAGTTATTAGGCTCTTGTTGAGAAGTTTGAAGCTCTTTCAGCTAGAACTGCACCATCTGGACTGCCAGTACTAGAATAAACACTAAAATACACAATGTACTATTTGCTCTGTTGCATTTCACACTAATCAGATCAAGCAAAAACAACACACCATAGCAACAAATAAACATATAGCATGTTTATTAAGTATATTTAGCTCCTTTTGGGTGCAGATTGCTGTATAATTACGTAAATCAGAGCATTTGTGCCTCACCTCCTGATTGGCTGCGGTCAGCTCCTCCTCCAAGGCAGAGACCCTCTCTAGTGACACCCGCAATCTCTCTCGTACCTGAACGAAACACAAAATTCCATCACTCACTGTTTATGATAGCTGTGCTCTACTCTGAACTGATCTGAATTTAGAATTGCATTTAAATGATGGTTGCAAACAATGCAGAATTGCAGAATTTAAGGAAGTAGAATTCAAATGGAATACAATTCTTAGAAACGGCAAGTGTAGTTTTAATAGTATATTTAATTGTTTATCATGAATGACCTACAAGCATGATATCGTACGTACAACGTGGTATTTGCTAAAACATTATATGATCAATTAATGAAATGGTAACAGTATAAATTTGTATTTAATTTATAAAAATGGTCTTATATTTAATAATTAAATTTAGTTTCAAGGACCACAGTGGGGGAAAAAAATTTAAATATTAATTTTCATAAAGTTATTTGTAACACTTTAGTTTAGGGACCAATTCTCACTATTAACTTGATGCTTATTAGCCTGTCTATTATTAACATATTTGCTGTATATTAGTACTCATAAAGCACATTCTGCATGACCATATTATACATCCCTAATCCTACCCAATACCTAAATTTAACAACTACATTACTAACTATTAATAAGCAGCAAATTAGGAGTTTATTGAGGCAAAAGTCAGTTTGTTAATACAAGATATTTTGGTAACACTTTACTTGAAGGGGTGTGCATAAGACTGTCATGACACCTTCATAATCATGACATGACACATGTCATGAATATGAAGGAGGTTGTATGCATGTTTATGACAACTGTCATTAAGTGTCATTCGCTCAGTTATGTCATTTTTAATGCAAATATGACATTATTTGACCTAACCCTAACCTACCCCGTCTATTATTAACATATTTGCTGTATATTAGTACTCATAAAGCACATTCTGCATGACCATATTATACATCCCTAATCCTACCCAATACCTAAATTTAACAACTACATTACTAACTATTAATAAGCAGCAAATTAGGAGTTTATTGAGGCAAAAGTCAGTTTGTTAATAGCGAGAACTGGACCTTAAAATAAAGAGTGACCAAGATATTTTGGTAACACTTTACTTGAAGGGGTGTGCATAAGACGGTCATGACACCTTCATAATCATGACATGACACATGTCATGAATATGAAGGAGGTTGTATGCATGTTTATGACAACTGTCATTAAGTGTCATTCGCTCAGTTATGTCATTTTTAATGCAAATATGACATTATTTGACCTAACCCTAACCTACCCCTACCCTTACCCCCAACCATAGCCCATAACAAAGACATCTCAAACAATGTCATCTTTGCATTAAAAATTACATAACTGAGCGAATGACACTTAATGACAGTTGTCATAAACATGCATAAAAAACCTTCATATTCATGACATGTGTCATGCCATGATTATGTAGGTGTCATGTCATGATTATGAAGGTGTCATGTCAGTCTTATGCACACCCCTTCAAGTAAAGTGTAACCGATATTTTTTTTTAAATTTAGTGGTACTGTATGACAAATTTTAAGTATTTTTTTTCTTTGTCTTACAACTGATTATAAGTCTTTTAATCGCGCTCTCTGGTGACCTGTTTGATCACTGGAATCATTTCAGTGGGTTCGGTCCTTCATCACTGGACAGTCTGTGGTCACTAAAACTGTGGTCCCATAAATCATAAGCAATTTCCTGCCATCTGTTACCTAACGCCTTTTAAATGACAGTGTCTGCAGAAGGCCACAGAATGGATTACAGCTGGATGAACCACCACACAAGGGCTTAATCCATAAATAAAACGCCACTGGATGAAGGAAAGGAGAGGTGGGACTGTGGGTCGCGGTGTTTAATAAATGTGCTTCCACCTCACTGTTCCAAAAACCAGGAGAGGAAGCGGTTATATAATATTATTTTGGGTACTAAGATTGATCAGTCGGCCTATATGCATTATATGGGTTAAACATCAGCAGGTCTGTGGTACATTTGATGTGTCACATATGAATTTATACTAGCAGATTTCTATCTTTGCAATGCACTGTGAATTCAACAATAAAAAAACAAAACAAAAGGAATCTCATCAGTTGTTGATCTCAGGGTTTACCTTCTCATCCAGTGCTTTGTGGTGCTCAAAGAGGGATTTAAGGGCTTTGAGGACCTCCACCTCACTGGAGACCCCAGAAGGAGACTGAGCTTGTCGTTTCACCACAGTCATACGTAGGGAACGTTCATGCCTCGAAACCAAACACTCCAAATGCTCCAATAGCAGCTGTGGAACATATAAAGAGTTCATTTCATTATGTTTATCATCCCAATCATCCGTTACTATTATGAACATTAGAATTAAACCAAGCGTAAAACTGAAACTAAATCGAAAACCAATATTAATACTAGTTTAAAGCTGAAATGCAGCCTTATGTCTCACTTGGGACCAAGAGGATTAAGCAAGTAGTAAAAGCTGAAATTAACAAATGAAGATGGAAATTAAATCTAAAAACCCTCAATCTAAAGCATCCAAACAAATCCATCCAAAATTCTAAATTTAGTAATTAATCTAATACTGAACCTAAATCTAAAGCCAAAATTAAAATTTCAACTAAATATAAAACCAATTCTAAAATCTCAGCATATGCTTTCGGAAGTATAAATACAAGTATTCCGCGCACGCGTCCGGATTGCTCATGCGGAAAGTATTACACAGGCTTCATGCTACAACATGAGGTCAGTTTTTTCGTTTTGTCACTAAACCCTCAAGGATATTCTTCACATGAAAATTAATGGCATGTGCTTAACACACCATTTTGTCTTTTCTCATTTTACAAGGGAACCCTTTCAGATGGATAACAACATTACACACAAGAAAACCCATTACATTACTTGAAACAATAAAGCAGACACAACAAACTGAAACCCCCTGGACCCGGCACAAAGGAGATTATGTTAATGTGGTTACTCTCTGCTCTGGTACATGGCATAAAAAATCAATTCGGACCCAAAGTACCAAGGATACCATGGAGAGAGAGAGCGAACGTCTGGCTTTAGATGAGTGGAGTGGACATATATGACTATGGATGGCGAGACAAAAGAAAAAGTGTTTATGTTGGTTTGAGAACCTGCTCAGAATTATGCTGAATTGCGTAATATGCATAAGGTGCAGAATTGCAAAAGCCGGATGCAGGATATTCCCACTCAATATCTTAGACTTCCAACCATGAAAGTACTCTGATGCTTGATGCTCAGAAGACAAGGCATAATGAAACAAAACATTATGGAATGTTTTGTTACTGTTTACGGTTCATTACTGTTCACTTCGCAGGTGTTCGATGGCCAACTGAGAAGCCTCTTAGCATACTGCAACCTAATTGTGGGCACAAGGAATGCTATTCAATGCTAGCATTTGTTTTGCAAGAGTATCAACAGATAGAATTATTAAACATCTGTCTCATTAAATGTATTCTAAACAAGTTTCATTATCATATAATTAGGAACTTTGACTCACTGATGCATTTTATTTGTTTAAAAGGGACTGTACTGTACATCCCCCAGCCACCAATATCATGTGACTAAATATAAAACTAATAATAATAATAAGTAAAAACTACACTGCCATTCAAAAGTTTGGGATCAGTAATTTTTTTTTAAAGAAATTAATATTTTTATTCAGCAAGGGTGTGTTAAATTGATAAAAAGTGATAGTAAAACTTCAATTTTGAATATACTGTTCTTTTTAACTTTTTATTCATCAAAGAATCCTAAAAAAAAGTATCAAAAAGCAGCAAAACTGTTTCCAAAATAGATAATAAATCAGCATTTTGATAATAAATCAGAATGATTTCTGAAGGATCATGCGACACTGAAGACTGGAGTAATGGCTGATGAAAATGTATTGATTTATTTATTGAAGAATATATTTTAAAGTATAATAAAATAGAAAACTGTTGTTTTAAATTGTAATATAATATAATATTTTATAATATTAAATTTTTTTCTCTATTTTTGATCAAATAAATGCAGCCTTGATTAGCAAATCTATATGATCAATAGCGATTAATACAATCAGTTGAATGGTTTAAAAAGTAATTTATTTATTTTTATTTCAGTAATTTATCAAAATTTTGAAAAAGGTTTGCTGCATGGTTAAAATACGCTACGCGTATATAAAAAATTGTGTTTTTTGGAGAAAAAAAAACATAAGTCGCGTATAAGTCGCATTTTATTATTTCATTCAGAAATAGGCCTGATGCCGATGCAAAATTTTTACAAACATGATAATAAACACTGTAAACATAGCTAGGCTATTTTAGTTCTCCTCACTCCACAACAAATCCTTTCAATTAACAGTATTTAGAAAAGAACAAGAATTAAAAATATAAGAATCTATAGCTATATAAACGACAAGCCAAAACAAATTCATTTAGGCTAAAACGAAACGGAAACCAACGTTTGGTCTCTCATTCCACACAAAATCAAATGTTTCCATATTCGCGATGTATTTGAATGGCAAATTATTATTTATTATGTAGCCTATACTTCACTGGCGTTCCAATATCCGCGTAAAACAAAATGTTTTGCATAACATCACGGCGGTACGGTGATAACACATAACGGCACAGATTTTACTACATATTTAAACTGAGCAGTGTGTTTTTTCCATATGTTTGACTGTATTTTATTATGATAATGAACAGGCTGCATTGTCAAGGTAGCAATGCTTAACTGTGCGTGCATGCGGTGCCGGCGCAATCACTTGGTTTTTTTCCTTCTAACAGTTTTTTCCTCATGTTCTGTTGTTTGCTGCTTTTTGCACATGTAAAATTAATCCCCGGGAAACAAATGTTAGTATTTTTAATGGGTCACAGACACTTATCCTTTCTAATTTAATTCAATTCTAATTTAAAATAATCTTATTGGTTTACGATTAATAATTGGTTAATCGGTTTTCTAAGTAGGGAGTTGAACTTCAAGTGGAGTCTCCAAGTAGGTAGCTGGAAATTCAGACTTCTCCAGCTGAATGTTAGGCAGCATTAGGGTTGCAGCAGCACATGTACCTGCCTGAGGGCTGTACTGGCTGTACTGTAGCAGTGCTGCTCTAGAGACCTATAGAGAAGCTGACCTTTCTATTTCTGCTCAGTTCCTTGCTCCCTCATTCATAACCCTCGGTCTATGCCAGCCTCTGTCTTTCCCAGCGCCAGCTCAGCACTAAAACATCCCTACAGCCGGATGATGCAGGTTAGGTTTCTCTCTCTCCCTCTGATTGTGTCTGTTTTGGTGGATCAGATTCACACTGGTGCCATCAGTAGACACAGCCATTAGCTAATACACAAATCTCAGAATTGATCTTAAATCGATATATGTACAGTAACATTATGTGTCATTTTACTTGAAAGGCCGTCCTGCGTAAAGTCCATCTTAATTTTTATCGTACTTCTTAAGTACTTTTTCCACTTTAAAACAAAAGTTTTACTAGTAAAGAAATAAAAACTACTGTTAAAATGTTTAAAATGTTGTACACTTACATAAGATAAAGTAGTGCTGGGCGGTATACCGGTTCATACCGAATACCGGTGTTTATTTTTGTCATATGAATTTTTAAAATAACGCAATACCAGTGTATGTCGCTTAAACAACGTTCGGAACGCGACACTGTTTGAAAGGGGTTTCTCTTTTGAAAGGCTTTTCACTGTTGCACTGTGGTGAGGGAACTAAGCATATGCTGTATGTGTTACTAAGCGTGAAAGTTCCGAAACTGAAGCTGTAGAACTAATAGAACGTGATGACACAGAAGAACTCATCCACAATATCCACATTGACCACCACAAATATCCACCGCCCCCTGCCCTCAGCTCCCGCGTCTCTCACACACACAAGCATGACTTTAGCACTAGATTTAGCAACTTTCAGACCCTTTTAGCAGCGTTTTCCCATAGAATATTCATACTGACAAACCTAGCGACTTTTTTGGATAAACCTTAACTATGGTTCAGTTGGAAGATTTCGCCAGTGCTGTCCCGCGAACGCGATGTCTGACTTTCCCGGAGAAGTGTCACCTCTCTCGGCGTCTGTTCTGTGCAGTGAGCGGCAGAGAAGCAGCGAAATCAGTTGGCCGCACCGCAGCCGACTCGTCAATAAATGAGTACAAAACAGAGTTTCCTAGCACCTGTCGCTTACTGATTGTTTGGAATTATAAATATGAGCGTAGTTCGTTTGTTAATATCACATGCACTTATTTGTTTGTTGTTTTTTTTAGTTACTCAGACGCAGGCAGTGCGCTGCATGAGACAAAAAAGTAATATAGCCAAAACAACCGCATAGCTGCTCTTTAGTGTAGATGCATGTTGGTTTTATCAGATGCTGCCATGATTATAAATGAGAGTGACTCCTGGTTAACATGTATTAAAAGGGGTTGTGTTTAGTCACTATTTAGTGTGGTATTTTTGGACAATATTCACTCATCATGACAGTAAAATAGGGCATTCTAACTCAATATACTGCAGAATTTCCTCTCTCAATCAGTAGAAAATATGGTTAACACCCGGTCATGCATGAAAAAAAAAATACCGTCATGTACCGTGAAACCGGTATCATTTTGAAAAATACCGTGATATACATTTTTGGTCAGCACTAAGATAAAGACACTAATAATAAGTGCCATAAAAAGCTTTATTCTATATAAGTGTAGTCCTGATTTTGCGGAGTTAGATGTGTTCCTAAGTCAACATATTTTGTTGACCCTGGAACAACATTTTAATCCAAACATTTAGCCTTGACCATATCCCTACACCTAAACCTAACCACCAGAGGAAATGATAGATGAATGACGCTGATGTACAAGCACCAAACACTGATTATAAGCCTAAATTTTACAAAAACTTTAAACTGGTTCTTCAAATCTGATTGGTTAATCACAATGTTGTTCCAGGGTCAACAAAGATGTCGATCCAGGAACATGTTGCACTTGGTAAAATCAGGTTCTGCATCCCTCATAGTGGTCCTCAGGTTGATATAACGTGACCTCGTTTTTACTAATGCATAGAAATAATCAGCAATAAGACACATCTTAACTTCATTGCAAGAACAGATATTGGTCCAAATGGCACTTAAAATGAAAATCAATGGCCAAAAATCTCTGCAGTGTTCACAATGTTGATCTATAATGGCAGGGAGTACAGTGAAAATTAGACATACTGATTTAATTGGCAACAAAAATGTTTTCCTTATAAGTACTTTATAAGTCCAAGGCCTATGGTAAATGGCCAATGGTCCAAATTAACATAACATTTACAGTAAATATTATGTAACATAAGATTTAGTGCATCTCAAATCAAAGTATGTTGAAAATAGTATGCAAAAAGTGCATCTTGTGGATTTTTGAAGTGTTACATCTGTGCAAGCTTCTTAGGTTATATCACCTCAACTCCTTGTTATTTTGTCTGATTTATATTATCACCTATTACTCAATCGCTGTCGTTCTAAAAACTATGTACTTTCTACATTATCAGGGCCTAATATATTTTTAGGGAATGTTGCTGTTACGCAAACTGGGACGCGGTCTCAAAATGATTAAGATATGACCTTTTCCATAATAACTGATGCATTGCAGAGTTGACGACAGTCTCTGTAGAGCAGCTTTGGGTTAAATACTTCACTCACGGTCACATTAGCTGCTCCCTGTGTAAGATTAGAAACTGCTTGAAATGCTGCTCCCAGAGTCTGTTGCTAATCTCACTCGACCTCTCCTCTTTTTCATTCCAACTACGCCCCTTATCCTCCTCGATCTATGCTTCCCTCTGGTTTTTAATACCCTCCAATATCCTCAATTCCATAATTGACTCTTCAAACGTTTGGCTGCGGCTAAGTAACGTAAGTAATTAATTGAATTGCAGCGTGGAGGCTGGTGAGCTGGGCTGCATTAGCACAGTGACTCAGGCAAGCACTGACTGGTGCAGAAAAAGAATAGAGGTGAAAATTAAGCTGAAGAAGTGAGAATGACTACTTTCTTGTGAAATGGAAGTGATAGCCAAAGTGCTGGGTCTTGTCAGACGTTTTGGCAGCTTCTATGCATTCAATGCAAATGCTTGGTGACAATTTTATTGAAAAACGCCAGCCTGTTATCTTGACTTACAGGGAATTATGATCTCACCGCTACAAGGATGAAGTTATCGCTCAACTGTCATCTCAATGCAATAAAGTCCCCATGAAAGGTAGTGCAGGGCATATCGAAGTGAGAATGTTGTGACTCTAAAGTAAGCATCTCAACAGAATCTGGTTTCAGTTCATTAAAAACAGTTTGGAGCAACTACAAACATACTGACTCCAACAAAATATCATGAGTCATTGGGTGGGCATCTGTTAAATTTTTGTAAGCAAGTTCAACTTATTTGACAGTTAAGGAGCACAATCTGTTCTTTGAAGTGCCTGGAAGACAGTGTGCAAACTCACTCTGGTGTTGTTCCTTTCGGCCTTCAGCTCTGAAATCTCCTCCTCCTTCTCCAGCAGCTGTTCCCTGCAGGCGTTCAACTCTTTCGTCAGGGCGGCAAACTCCTGCAAGACACCAATGCAATACATCCTCATTAAACACACCTGAAACATCTAATTATGGTCTTCAAGGTTTACTGGAAACTTCTAGGCAAGTGTGAGATTGGAGAAGGTTTGAGCTAAACTCTGCATGACATTAGCCATGTTTCCATCACCCTGTTCTTATGCAACAGAAAAGAGTGATGGAAATGACAAATTTCGAATAAAAATCCCTTAATTTTTTACGATCGCTTGAGGTGGTTTTTGACTTATGCGAAGAAGGGTTAATGGTAATAATGGCAGATGGAAACGCATTTGCCGAGTAAATCCCTCCATGCACATCAAAACGTTATGTGACTTTGCACTATAGGACAGCAAAACCTGACTAACCAGCGGACCGATCTTGTTCCACAGCATCTGAAATGTTGTTATGGTCATTTTGAAATGCCCGAGCAAAGTCTGTCATCAAAGTATTTCTGTATAATTGCCTCCCAGAACTGTTACATGACTGCGTTCCCAAATAGCAGGCATCCACCTCCGAAAGCAATGACCTCATTTATTTTGTTTCGTCTGCTTGCTCTGAGCCGCAAGTAATTTATTATATATGAAAATTATTATATTAAATGGCTTCTCCTACTTTTCTTAGTGATACATAGTGCCAGTTTATCAGGAAGTGACGATTTTGTTCTCTTTGACTCTTTGGATTGAAACGGTGCTTAAACCCGGCTATTGACCCTCTTGGAGCAGGAGCAGACTCCCCTGCCCTGCCAACAAGAGTTGAGGAGTCATATAAAACAATATACCGGCATTATTTTAAAGGGGTCCTATTATGCTTTTTCACTTTTTCAACTTTAGTTAGTCTGTAATGTTGCTGTTTGAGCATAAAAAAGATCTGCAAAGTTACAAAGCTCAAAGTCCACTTCAAAAAGAGATATTTTATTGAACAGAAATCACTTTTCAAAAACTACAACGAATGACTCGTTTGGACTACAACGCATATTTTCTGGGATTTGTGATATCACAAATACCGACGAATGGGACGAGACCTGGTTGAGCTGCACTAGAGAAGGCAACGAGTGTTATCACTATGTCGGAGACACGCTAGCTTTCTCAAGGCAGACGAACTTAGAGTGTTTACAATCATCCGGGTTTAAATCGGGCTCAAATTGAATTGATATTGACGCAATTTACACTGAAGCTCGCAGGCGGCTATGGTAAGGGGCAGGACATTTCTCGACCAGGCGCCGAGTGCTGCTAATCACAACACACACTGGCCCAGCTAACCAATCACAGCACATTTCATATTTCAGAAGGCGAGCCTTCATTTGATACAGGAACTATTCGAGCCGTTCATGCCAGACTGGGGAGAGAGGTGTTGTAATAATGTAAAATATATGAAAAATAATGTGTTTTTCGAACAACCTAGTATGAGAGCCTGTTCTAGTACACCCCCAAATCAAAATCAAGACTTTGTAAAAGAGCATAACAGGACCCCTTTAAAGGTTTAAAGTTTTCCTTTCTCTTTGGAGTGTTACAAGCTGTTTGTGAATAGATAAGATCCCTGAAGTTGCAAAGACTAAAGTCTCAAACTCAAAGAGATATTCTTTATAAAATTTAAGACTCATCCACACTAGGGATGCTCCGATCCGCCTTTTTCGCCTCCAATACCGATTCCGATACCTAGGGTTCGTTATTGGCTGATACCGATCCGATACCAGTGAAGTTTTTTTCCCACATTTAAATAAATGTAGAATTTATGTGTGTGGAACTGATAATCATTCTTTCACAATCTACTAGATACAGACTACTTCATTATAAAGAAAAATAAAATAAACAATAAATATGAAAAAATATAGACCTATGTACAGTATATTTATAATCTATGACAAAAAATTATCATAAACTAGGTTAGTGGATAATTCGGCAGCAAAAGTTATTCTAGAAAAATCAGTGCACAATAATTTTAGAAATCCAAACATTTAGTGAAAAAACTTTTGTGGGGAACAAATAATGTAAAATGTTACACATTGCTATTTGTATTATTAAATAGCAATGTGTGAAAACATTCATGAATGTATTTATATATAAGTACAGTGGGTACGGAAAGTATTCAGACCCCCTTAAATTTTTCACTCTTTTATATTGCAGCCATTTGCTAAAATCATTTAAGTTAATTTTTTTTCCTCATTAATGTACACACAGCACCCCATATTGACAGAAAAACACAGAATTGTTGACATTTTTGCAGATTTATTAAAAAAGAAAAACTGAAATATCACATGGTCCTAAGTATTGAGACCCTTTGCTGTGACACTCATATATTTAACTCAGGTGCTGTCTATTTCTTCTAATCATCCTTGAGATGGTTCTACACCTTCATTTGAGTCCAGCTGTGTTTGATTATACTGATTGGACTTGATTAGGAAAGCCACACACCTGACTATATAAGTCCTTCCAGCTCACAGTGCATGTCAGAGCAAATGAGAATCATGAGGTCAAAGGAACTGTCTGAAGAGCTCAGAGACAGAATTGTGGCAAGGCACAGATCTGGCCAAGGTTACAAAAAAAATCTGCTGCACTTAAGGTTCCTAAGAGCCCAGTGGCCTTAAATGGATTTTGCTCATCACCTGTCCAATACAGTCCCAACAGTGAAGCATGGTGGTGGCAGCATCATGCTGTGGGGGTGTTTTTCAGCTGCAGGGACAGGACGACTGGTTGCAATCGAGGGAAAGATGAATGCAGCCAAGTACAGGGATATCCTGGACGAAAACCTTCTCCAGAGTGCTCAGGACCTCAGACTGGGCCGAAGGTTTACCTTCCAACAAGACAATGACCCTAAGCACACAGCTAAAATAACGAAGGAGTGGCTTCACAACAACTCTGTGACTGTTCTTGAATGGCCCAGCCAGAGCCCTGACTTAAACCCAATTGAGCATCTCTGGAGAGACCTAAAAATGGCTGTCCACCAACGTTTACCATCCAACCTGACAGAACTGGAGAGGATCTGCAAGGAGGAATGGCAGAGGATCCCCAAATCCAGGTGTGAAAAACTTGTTGAATCTTTCCCAAAAAGACTCATGGCTGTATTAGATCAAAAGGGTGCTTCTACTAAATACTGAGCAAAGGGTCTGAATACTTAGGACCATGTGATATTTCAGTTTTTCTTTTTTAATAAATCTGCAAAAATGTCAACAATTCTGTGTTTTTCTGTCAATATGGGGTGCTGTGTGTACATTAATGAGGAAAAAATTAACTTAAATGATTTTAGCAAATGGCTGCAATATAACAAAGAGTGAAACATTTAAGGGGGTCTGAATACTTTCCGTACCCACTGTATATACTATAAAATAAAAATACATTTCTTTTAAATGTATAGCATATTTTTTAATAAGGCAACAACATGATAGATACGATAGGACAAAACTAATACAGTGCAGCACAAACTGTTTTTATACAGTCTATGTGCACGAAGCGCTTACAATGTGCGGATCTGCTGCATCCGGCACATTGTAAGCGCTTCGTGTTAAAAACTGCAAAGCACAAAGGGAAAATAAATTGTAAAAGTGTATTATATCTGTGCAACAGTTATTGAGCCTTTCTTTTAACAGTTTTAAATTTCAGTTACTGTGCATGTTAAAAACAATTTATAGTCTTTTCTACGCCCGTGTTTTGTTCTCACAGACACCCGGTAGCAAGTAACAAAACAACATTAAACTCCGGCAAGAAGATAAAGTCCTTTTTGCAAAATCATAGACATGTATTTACAAATCAAGTATAATGGGAACACAGAATGATCTTGGAGAGAGCTTTACCGAGCTGACTGCTGTAACCGAACGTGACCAGGGTTTAAAGGCTGAACGAATGACTGACAGCCACAGCGGAGAAAAGAGTTTGTGTGAACTTTAATGTAAGGACATATATATTCATATGTAGCTCACATTAAGCTATCGTATGGCTTCAGAAGTAACACAGAATAATTTGCACAATCGAAAAAAAAAATTTAATCTCGGATTTGGATCGGCCCTCTCCGACCGATACCCGATCCGAGAAAAATGGCACTATCGGAGCCGATAGCTGATATGAATATCGGATCGGCACATCCCTAATCCACACCCTCCTAAAACACCTCGTTCAAACACCCCCTCACATGTCTACGTCACTGTGTGGGAAGATTTGCATAACGCCGCCCAAATGTTCATGCAAAGAAAGAAGGCGTAACTTTGATTCTCACTGTAGTATTGTTTTTGCCGCTGCCACCGCCATGTCGTGAAGACGCTGTGTGTTTCGTTGTGAAAGCAAAACTACTTTGTTTGGTCTTCCAAAAGAGGACACAACTAGAAATCAGTGGTTAAGTTGTATTTACAACACTGTTCCAGAACAGTTTATCCCATATATTCGTGTGTGTGCAACGCATTTTAGAGGACGAGGACTGTTTCCTGGGAGAGTAGCCTACAATGCCGGTTTTCTGACAAATAATGCTGACTCACAGCCTGTAAGTACGTTTTCATATTTAAAGGATTTGCCACTGACGATTCAAACGCGAATTTTGAGCAGTGTAAAGTAGCGCTTGTTGTTTGTCGTTTCTCCGATCACAAATGCACATATGGTTTTATGTTTACATGGCGCGACGCAATGCAACACGTAAAAAGACAGTATAAGTCATTATAATCAGTAATTATGTCCCCAATGGATGCTACAAATGCCTCGTTTGTAATGGGTTTTATTGGTTTTGTCTCATCGCACCGGGACACGGCATCATAGTATGGTAAGGGGCATAACATTTCCGTCACACGCTTGTATATATACACGCATGGTAGGAATGGGGTCGGAATTGACTAAGGCTGGTATATGGAGTATGACGCAAGTGGTGATGCAATTGCTTTTACATGGTACATTTAGGTGCCCCAATAAGCAAATGTGAAAAACAACCCTGCAACCCTATGACCTCAACTACAACTTTGGTAACCGTTTGATAATAAGCACAATGAATCATCCCAGGTACAGGCAAAAGTAAAATAAAAGGACAA